GAAACTGTTACACTAAGTGAAGTAACACAGACTCAGAAAAAACAACAACAACAAAAAACAGCATATGTTCTCTTCATTTGTGGATCCTAGCACCAAATCCTTATAAATGAATATGCGTCCAGATATAACCATAGGAAGCAGGATAATGAAGAGGAACCAGGGAAGTAAAGGAAAAGAAAGAATCTGAAAGAGAAGAACAGTAGAAAATAGGTGTTGAGAAGGGAGATATGGACAATAATGGGGTTATTTTAAGGGGACGGGGGAGAGAATGTTATACAAGGAACCTAGGGGATAAAGGGAAAGAAGGTGCTCAAGAGAGGTGAGACAATAGGAGAAGGGTATCATTAAGGGAGAAATGAAAAAAAAGGGGGGCACCTTAAATGGGGAAACCATGGAAGGGTTAGACAATGTAAGAGCTAAACAATACCTAGCTAGTTTTAGAAAACCAGAGGGAACCATATTAGGCCAACAACCTATACAAATTATACATAAAACCAGATCAAAGAATGTAATGTATATCTAGGCAAGGTTTATCTGAGAGCATTTGGTCTTTGCCCAAGCTCTATGTACATGGCCTACGGTAATTAAAAGTACCAGACTGGTGGAACTAACCTTCTTGGATGTTTAACAGCCATACTTTGAGGCCTATACTAATTTTGTCTGGGGGACATAAAGGACAGTTTTTGCTCCTTTCCCTCCTAGGTCGACGAAGTTCCAGGGGACTATGAGCACCTCTCAAAATGTCCTGTAACTGTGGTGATTCACCTGTCCTTTTGAGCAAGGAGGCTGTGGAGACCCAACCAAATGGACCTCAAGCAGTGTCCAGTCTACAAAGAGGAGGATCAACACAGAGGAAACATTTCCTCCATGCTTCCAAGCAAAGCCAGCCATGGTCGAGCAGGACCTTTGACTTATGTTCACATAATGGAACTGGTAAAAGAAAGGAGCCTGGGGCTCCTCCCAAGCCCCTATTACCCCTGAGAAATGACCTTAAGAGTAAAATGACCTCAAAGACCTTAAGAGTAGAACAACCTTAAGAGTAAAATGACCTCAAATGACCTTAAGAGTAAAAATAAATTGTTTTATCTGGGCCAACTGTAGGGTCTTAAACACCCGAAAGGAAAGTATAACCAAAGATTAATGGGGTCAATATAATTTTTAACAATCCATATGTATAGCTAAAGGCTACTTAACAAGAAACAATGCCAGAAAGTTCATACCTTCAAGTTATTGGCCAAGGTGGCGCAAGAGACTCCCAGATAGTAATCCAGCATAGAACTGGGAAAATGAACAGCAGACCCCAATCTTATCTAAAGGAATATTGACAACTGATTGCTGCTAGATGAGGAACAGGTGATCATCCTAAAACAGGGATCTCTAGATAGGCTGACTAGATTCAGCAGACTGACAAGCACTGGAGAATCGCTGGGGGTGCCAACAACACAGAGGACAGTAACAGTGATGACAGAGTATGTGGGCTCCAGTATGTGGGAGCGGGGAGGCTATGGGAGGGTGCCATTTGCGTAGTGCATATATAGATGAATAAGACTGTGTGGGAAGTTCTGTATGACATACACACAGAAAAATCAAAAATTTTTTTTTAAAAAAGAGAAGACATATTTGAGGAGGAAGAATAAAAATTTACTTCATGTTAAAAAGTAGAGGTGATAAACATTACCAGTGAAATCTACCTGATGACTTTATATCCATTCTCAGGTACTAAGGATCCATGTGTAACTGATTGTGACTAGTAATCATCAGATACATAGAGATTAAAGACACATGTGCAAACATCTAAGTGTTAGTAGCATTAAAAATGTAGGAAACAGCAT